TTTATACATCTTGAGCGGATTCATCGAACGTCGTGGAAGAAACTTTGCGAATGTATGTCATAGATCGTAATAATTAAATATTTCATTATAAATGGAGTAAGTTTTGTTTATTAATGTCACTTCGAAAGTGATAAAATCAACCCTTACGGGAGATATTATTAGAATTTTAATAAATTTATATACACACATTATCTAAATAAATTCTTTCATCCTTGTAAAGTGTAGGTTGTAACAGTGGTGATCGATAAATATAAAAATTAATCGCGTTTTCAAATGAACGGAAACCAACTCTCGCAAAACAACGAGAGCAACGCCATTTTACGATCGTGCCTCATTATCCGATCCCATAAAATACTTACTATACTCCCATGAAAATGAATCGAATAAAATAGAATAAAATACACAACAGATTTATACTTTGAAATTATAGGCGCATGAAATCAGGGCTTCTCAATCTTTTCGTCGTGCATTTATTAAAATATATTTAAATATATTTATATATAATAATTCTCAAATATTTATAATATCAATCGAACGAACATATTAAATTTTATTCCTAAGTTTAATTACTATTATCGAGACTTTGAAAAAAATTCTAAAATATTTAAAAATTGGACATAATTTAAGACAATCCATCCAAAAATTTACCAACGATCCACAGATTGAGAAACGCTGCGTTAACGTCACGCTTCCTCCTGCAAAAATCCGAGCAATTAAAAACAGAGGCAAATGCTCGCAAACATCGTTGAAGCAATAAGGAATCGCAGAAAAGGATAATTGGCACGCGATTAAAACGACAATCTACGGCGCAGAGGGGTTCGTTACTTTTCCTCCGGCGGATGTAAAATAGCCGGCTATATTATCGCGATTATGCAGCCCCCGTGGAGGTGAAACCAGATGCAAGAATGTTGCGGCGCAAGTTGAGTTGTGCGGTCGCGTTACTTAAGCCAGGATTTATTTATCGTATAATCGATGGACGAGGCAGGAAAGCCGCGTGTACACGTGGCGATGTTAACCCCGAACCGCACCGCGACACTAACGATATATTATTATGCTCACGCTGGGTGAGAATTAACGTCTTATTTCGTCGCAGGGAGGGGAGGGGGAGAATTCGGAGGATTTCATGAATACATTTTGTCTTTATTAAAAATTGGTGGAGTTGGATGATATAACGTGCTAAAACTCCTTAAAAAATGACTTCATCCTCGATTCTCAATCGTTTTTAATAAAATTTAACGACCTGAAGGGTAATAATAATTCGTATTTCCTTTCTTTATTTTAATTAGACCATATATTCTTATATATAATATATGTTTTATCTTTATATTGTTTCATCTTTTATTTATATGATTTATTATTGTTAAGTATTCGAAACTTTTCCTTCTTGGTTGTTGATGTCGTGGGAGTATAATAAAAAATAATAAAATGTTACGTATCGTTTTAATACATAAAATAAAATAGTTGTGAAATTAAATTTCGTCCAATCTTTTAAATTAGACTAAAAATAAATATACTACTATAAAATCTACTCGATCAATGACAAGTAGATACACGTA